AAAGTCTGAGGCCTGCAGCTCACAGGGAGGGGCTTCCAGCAGAACCCTCATCCTGCTGAGGATCCCCGGGGCCTGGAGAACCCAGAAGCCTTCCCAGGCCCCTGCTCACCCTGCCAGGGGCTGCGGTAGAGTGCCCCCGGGGCCTGCAGCCTCTTCCCGAACCCCCCGCCCCAACTCCCCTTCCCATGAAACCCCCGGGCCCTCCAGGCCCACGTAGAACCGTGGTGGAGGCCTGAGCTATAAAGGATGCTGCTCCCTCAGCCACGTGCACGTGCCGCTTTCCGTGTTTCTCCTGTCGCCGTGTGCTGGGCGGGGAAACCAAGTCCCCCTGCGCCCCCCGCCCCCCTTCTGCACTGGGCATTCTCTGCCCACCGGGGGCAGCAGGTGAGGACTCCCCGCGTGGGAGAAGCCCACCCACGTGAACCTGGAGCCAGTGCCCGGCCCAGGGTCAGCCCGTGGCTGCGCAAATGCATGGTCTGGGGCTCCGGGACGGGGGTCCCGCTCAGAGGGGTTTCCTCTGAGAACTGCCCCCGTCGTCTGGGCGGCCCCTTTCTCCCGGCCCAGGCATGTGGAGGTGGTCCCTGCACAAGAAGGTGGAGCGGGATCCTGGAAAGAGCCCGGTGCTGGTCCGCATTCTGCTCCGAGAACTGGAAAAGGTGGGTCCCAGCCCCGGGGCCAAAGGGGTGAGAGGAGCAGAGGCCCCTCCGCGCTGCGCCCCCGCACTGGTCACTGGTGAACCGCTGCGTTCCCACCACGTGCCTCCCTCCTGAGCTTTCCTCTGAGCAACACTGTCTTTCAGTGACGCCCACTGTTTCACATGAGTTGGCATATTTCTAAAAGAAACCATAACGCGAGCACCAATGGACAGTCACGTCACTTGGCAGAGAGAAAGCACCATAAACATACATGCACAGCTACTAGAATGCCCACAGTTACCGCACGGCTCCCAGCTCCCCGCACCCCCCAGATCCCCGCACATGATCCCAGCTCCCCGCACACACCACCAGGGCTGCACTCAAGGGGCCTCCCAGTTGGGGACTTTCTTGTCGCCTTGCTCCTCTCACACTGGGCCCGCCTCCCCTGTGCTCTCCCCACCCGCCTCCACAGGGCAGGCTGTGGCCCTTTTCCACCACGTCCCTGCCCATCCCCAGCCCCTTCCACAGCCTCCTGCTAGAGCGTGAGCCCCTCAGCCCCAGCCCAACGCGTGTTTTGCAGGCAGAACGCGAGGACACCCGGCGCGTCATCATCCCTTTGCTGCACACGCTAATGTACGTGCTCACCAAGGTGAGCCCGCTGAGGGTCGGGGAGGGGGGACCCATGACGCGGGCCGGGGCTGGACACGTCCTCTCCCCCTGACTGGGCGATCCAGGAAGAACTCTTGGGTTGCCCACCTGGATAGGCTTCTTTTCTTTCTTTCTCTTCAAGGTAGAGCTGGGCAAATCCACTCCATCAACTAATGATGAACCTCATTACGGCAGGGAGGATTCATAATGAGGAGAGAGCCAGGCCAAAAGTGGATGAGAGAGAATCATTGATCGGCTGCCTCCTGCACCCCCTACTGGGGATCCAGCCACAACCCAGGCATGTGCCCTTGATGGGGAATCAAACCTGGGATCCTTCAGATCACAGGCCTAAGCTCTGGCCACTGAGCCAAACCAGCCAGGGCCGGATCCGCTTCCTTCCATGGCTGTGCCCTCTCTCTAGCAGTCCGTGATGAAACATGGGGGCCGTGGGGCGTGGGGGACCCCCTGAGCAGAGGGCTAGGAGGGAGAGGACTTACTGGGGGAAAGACAGACGGCTTTCCCTCCTGGGGAGCTGAGTAGAGTGTCAAAGAGTCTGTCCCCCAGGCACTGGGGGAAGAGATTGAAGGTGTAAATTTGGGAGAGAAGTGGGAGCCCAGGTCTTGCTTCAGGCCCACCTTCCTCCTCTCCCACCCACCCAGGACCCTCCTGACCTCGGGCTCCGGGCACCCACCCCCTCACTCTGTCCCAGGCCACAGGCATCTCGCAGGAGCTCTACCGGAGGACCTACGCCTTCTGCATGCGGCTACTGACCCTGCCCGCCCCCTACTGCACGGTGGCCCTGGACTGCGCCATCAGACTGAAAACTGAGACTGCGGCCCCAGGTAGGAGCTGCCCCAGGTGGTATCTGCCCCAGGGAGGAGCTGCCCCAGGTGGGAGCTGCTCCAAGTGGGAGCTGCCCCAAGTGGGAGCTGCCTCAGGGAGGAGCTGCCCCAGGTGGGAGCTACCCCAGGGAGGAGCAGCCCCAGGGAGGAGCTGCCCCAGGGAGGAGCTGCCCCAGGTGGGAGCTGCCCCAGGGAGGAGCTGCCCCAGGGAGGAGCAGCCCCAAGGAGGAGCTGCCCCAGGTGGGAGCTGCCCCAGGGAGGAGCTGCCCCAGGGAGGAGCTGCCCCAGGTGGGAGCTGCCCCAGGTGGGAGCTCCCCAGGGAGGAGCTGAGGCTCCCAGGCTGCAGTCCAGCTCCACCCAAGGCCTCGCGCTGGTCTCAGGATTCTGGGAACTCAAAAACCCCAGCACCTGCTGTGGGGAGGGGCCCGGGGTCAGGCGGGCAGCTTGCTGAAGTGCTCTGCTTGGCAGGGACGCTGTACCAGAGGCTGGTCATTGCCGAGCAGAACTTGACGAGCGAGGTGTACCCCTACCAGGAGAGGTGAGTGGCTCCCACGGGCGCTGCCCGCCGCCCTCCAGTTTTGGGCCTGTGTGACTGCGCACTGACAGGAGGACAGGGAGGGGTCTGGACGGAGGGGAGCCCAGCAGAGCTCCTGTCCATGACATGTGTCCAGCGGTGGGTGCGTCTCCGGTGCAGGCCCTTCCCTGGAGCTCACTGAGGGTAGGATAGGTCTTCTTGGACAGAACACCAGCCACCCGGGAGCTCTGTTGATTCACCTCCATCCTTCCCGTGGCCGTGAGGCAGCGTCAACTAGGCCGGCAGCCGCGGCAGCTCCAGAATGCCCAGAGCGGAGGAGCTCAGGCCACGGTCACAGAGGTCTGCGGGCTATCGTCAGCGTGCCTGGCCCTGTAGCTAAGGTTGAGGAAGTGCCCACTGTTACAGCTGAGAAGAGGGACAGATGGCGCTGGGTGCATAGCTTCCTCCCCTGCAGGGACTTCTGCTGGAAGGCACGACTTGAGGCTCGGTGTTCAGGGAGGTGCAGGGAGGGGAAGGGCTCAGAGGAATAAGCCTTGGAGAGGTGGGAGGCGCAGCTGGCGGAGGTGTCTCCTGGTGTGACAGGGATGGTGAGAGCAGATGGGACTGCTCAGAGCGCCAGTTTCAGCAAGAAGGGTTTAGGGTCCCTCCCAGAGGGCCATGTGGTCGATGGGCCATGACGCCAAAGGAGGAAGCAGGTTAGAACCTACCTGGACACCAGACACTGGACCAAGCATGTCAAACTCCCAGCCCACAATGAATATTTTTGCAGCCCAGCCAATGTAACAGTATGTAAGAAACGTTTTACTAAAAATTTCACAACTTAACTTTTACAATATCCTGTGATACATAATTATTAATAACGAACTACAACATTTGCTAATGACTGATTACTATAACCGTGTTGCATTCATTTCCCTTATGCGCTTTACACGCAGGTGCACCATGTCTCTCCACTAATACTAGCAGCGAATATTTTAGCAGCCGATTGCCACATCATTAGTCTTGTACTGACTTATTTGGTGTGCACAACAGGAAATATTTCACTTTCGGAGAACAAGAAAAATAGGGGGTTTTTTTTGCATTACGCGTATTCATTTGTGCAGTTATTCAGTGTCTGGTAAGTTAAAGTTCAAGAAAAATATTAATTTTATTAAAATGTTCTATTATTTTATGTTAACGATGACTCATTTATTGCAGCCCTTTGTATTCAGTATGTCTCTATCGAAATACACCTACGTTTCTATGAACATTGAAGCTTTTGTTTTTTTGCGGCCACATACACTTGAACCTTGTTTATTTGGCCCGTGTTAGCCTTTGAGTTTGACAGGCTTGGGCTAGACGGACCAGCTGCCTCTCTAGAAGGGCTGTGCACGCGCTTCCTTGCCACAGTCCTCACCATTCCCTATCGTTGCCCCCCTCCCCCATAGAGGTTTGAATTTGAGGTTCCTGTTTTGGGAGGAGCTAAATAACTTGGGGGAGGGAAGACTCCCCCAAGACTCTGAGGGTGCCCCTCCGGTGGCTCTGCGCCTAGTAGTCACTCTCATCAGCACACACCCTCCCCGCTGTGCCCCCAGGGTGTTCCTCTTCGTGGATCCGGAGCTGGTGCCTCCCTCCGTGTGCAGCGCCCTGCTGCTGGAGATCCAGGCCGCCCAGACACAGCGGACACCCGAGGCCTGCATGCGCCACGTGGTCTCCCACGCCCTGCAGGCAGCTCTGGGCGGGGCCTGCCGGGCGGAAGTTCTGCAAAGGAAGCTGCAGGTAACTCTCTGCCCAGCTCTGCGGGGTCCAGCCCTGGGCCCCACATGCCCACACCAAGTGCTTACTCTGCTGCCTGCCCCCTCTCCTATTGCCATGTTACCTTTCGTAAGTCAACACGAATACACATGCGCTAAGGAAAGCCTGAGAAATGCAGGGAAGTCATAGGAGAAAATAAAAATCACTCACATCCCTCCACCCAGACCTAGTAGCAATGAACAGTCTGGTATATTGCCTTAATGACAATGATAATCCTAATAGCTACTGTTTATTGGATGTTTGTTGTGTTCCAGGCACTGTGCTAGCACTTCACATATATCACATTCTAAAATTCTCACCACAACACTGTGAAATGGATGCCATTTTCCAAAACTCAGGGACAGAGAAGATGCTAACCTACTCCTGGTCACACATGCAAAGGGACCGAGCCAGAATGTCACCCAGATCTGACTTCAAGCCCACGTTCAGTCGCCTCCCCCACCACTCCTTTCGAGCAAACGGGGAGATCACCTTCTATATGCAGTTTTATTTTTTAAAATATACTTTTATTGATATCAGAGAGGAAGGGAGAGGGAGAGGGAGAGAGAGAAACATCAATGATGAGAGAGCGTCATTGACCGGCTGCCTCCATCATGGGAGTCAAGCCAGCCACCCGCCCATGTGCCCTGACTGGGAACCGAACCCGTGACCTCCTGGTTCATAGGTCAATGCTCAACCACTGAGCCAACCTTTTCATGGAGGGTAGCAATATAAAATTTCTTCTTAAAATATTTTTGAACCAAAAAACTGAGCTGACTTAAATAAAAATATTGAGTAGTTAACAGTATAAGTGCTATGTCAAGGCAGTATGAAAATGAGAGAAGTTCAGGAAATATTCAATACATGTATGGACAGGGTGCTGGCGATGCAGCTCTAAATAAAACAGACAACATCGCTGCCATCCTGGAGCTCACGTCCTGGTGGGGGCAGGACGTTGACACAAGTGCCTGGTGACCCTCAGGGAGGTGGGTGCCAGCAGCCATCCTGCCCACTGGGTTCCCCACGCTGCCGGGCACCAGCTGTCTCCCCCCTTCCCTCCCCTCCCCCACCCAGGGTCGCAGGCAGCATCTGGGAGCAGGTGTGGCGGGGCAGGGGCGGCGCCTTGGATGTGGGGGCGCAGACACTTTG